GAATGTATATCTAATACTTATACAATGTAAGTAGAAAACTGCTTTACAAATAAAGCCTTACCTGTTCTTTTTCATAGTAAGAGCTTTATTTTCATTCACAGATCTACCACCTCCCTCTGTAAGAAATAGATTAATTATATACAAGTGTAAAGTACAACTTGTTTTCTGATAAAAAGCCTAATAAAGTCCAGACCTGGGGTAATCATTAATCGTAATCATCGATTTTTTAACTGATTACATGATTACACTGTAATCATCATGTAATTGATTACCTTGCTCAAAATTGATTACATTAATTGTAATTAATCAATTACAGCTTAAATTCAGTCTGTAATTATGATTACAATTTGATTGATATTGATTACTTTAGCAGATTTTTCATGAAACTATTAAAATTCAAATGATTTATTTCACATGTTACAATTAAACTAATACTCCTTTATAATCATAAATGATCTTTAATCACAAATTGTAGAGTGTAAATTGATTGATTTTGATACACAACTAAGCCACATTTTTATTGAATAGAAAGAATGTTCTCTATTGATATCCATATTTGAAGTAAATAATAGAAATTGTCATAATAAACAATGATTGTCCATAAAGGTAGTAAAATATCACATGAGATGTTTTAAGACATCATTCACAATGAAGAAATAAGTTTAAATCCATGCACTGCCATTTTAACCAAATTCTAAGTGAAAGATAGACATCATTTTTTGGCTGGTCTTCTAACCAAAATGTCAAATCATTGGATTTTTAATGTCTTTGAATTTCCAAAAGAGATCTCTGGAAATGTTCAAAGCACAATGCAAATTGTGCCCTAAAAAGATTAATGGGCAGTTGGGCACAAAAGTCACGTTCCAATCTTCATTACCACACATATAAAGGTATATTAAATTTTGTTTCACATATTTTGGTTAAAGATTCAAAGATTCAAAACCATGTTTAAAAGTTTCAACAATGTAGATAACTTCTTTACTCTGTATATTCTAGAGTTTATGTCAGATGCATATTACCATATTTTAATTATATGCAACAGTTATTTTGTAAGGTTATAGACAATGTGTCTATATCATAATGGATACTGTTGTACCATTGAAGTGTTTGTAAAAAATTGATAATTTCTTTGTATAGCCTATTGTCTCTTTGAATTCCCATACAAACATTTATTGTTTTCACACCTGTTTTTAACACCTGTATACAGCATACTGTACAAAATTGCCACTTTTCAAAAATTTCTGTTGTGGAGAGTTCATTATGGAACCTACACCAAGGAGACTGAGGACCAGAAAACCACATGTGAAACCACCCCCTCTGTTTCCGATTGCCCAACAACACCAGTTGTTGCAAAAGTATGCACCCTTCTCATCCAAAATAACAGCACACTACAAATGTCTTTGTAAAGTTTGTTGCTGGTGGCTTGCTTCCATTGTCAAGCTATTGATAACTAAGAAGTTTCGTGAAACTTTGCAAATCCTTCCGTCCTGATAGATGCAGTCTGACTGACAGACGGTTTCATAACTTATGATGCTAAAGTGCAATGCTAAAAATATGATAAAGTGATGTGACAGTAACTAAAAGTGTGTTAAATTGAATGACTGTTGATGAGCTGGAAATCCTTGTGGTATATATAATGTATATAATATATATAATGTATATATTAAATAGCAATAAGAAACTTTTTGTTTTATAGTTATACATTGAATGTAATCAATTATCAATCAATTACTTTCTTAAAGTAATTGTAATTTAATTGATTACAGAGGCAAGTCTGAGTAATCAATTGTAATCAATTACAATAAAATCTGAAAGTAATTGTAATTAAATCAATTACTGATCAATGTAATCATCCCCAGGTCTGATAAAGTCATTGATAGATTGAAGTTTCCACCTTTTTCTTCAGAGTTTTTCTTAATCAAACAGTGTCTAAGAATTAAAATATAAAATAAGTTAAACTGCAAACTAATAGATTTTAGCTGTAAAATAGTTAATTGTGAAAATGATATGTATATTGTTTGCCTATGATTCCTTCATTTAAATAAATCATACAATAAAATTTTGTCTTTTGGTTTATACATATTTATTTACGCTCCATTGCAAATCAAGTTCTTGCAACTATATTAATCACTTTTGAGTCCACTTCTGAACCAACAGTACTAGTACTGGTGTCATATGAAGAAACATAGTTGTGACCCAATTAGGGCTCGAACCCAAGATCCACGAGTTGAGAGGCAGACACCTTAACCACTAGGCCATGGCTCCCCTTGTCTTTTACCATTAGTATTAATGACACCAACATTATGATGTCTTGATGTTGCTTTAACAGAACCTAAAACAGGGTTTAAATTTTAATATGCAGAAAAAAAGTAAAATTTATTTTCAGCTTCAGTGACTTTAACAAAATTGTCTGTATGTCTCTGAAATCAGCTACTAATTGAAGGTGTAAGGAGTAACTACAAGTAACAGTGGGATGATTGCAGGGTAAGAGACAATACACTTAGTAATAGAAAAAAAACATGAAAAGCTAAGACATCAACATAATTACCTGTTGTATTTCTTGCACCAGACTTCCATGGATCAGGAGTAATAACCTTTCCAAGTTTTTTCTGACCTGCAATACGATAAGAGAAGATTCCAAAATTAAAGTTTGGATTGCTTAAACTTGCTTTTTAAAAAATATTTACCTGTTTAAACAATCTACATAAACATCTTTCATATGAACTTTTAAATGCACTGATCCACTTCTTACAATATATATGTATGGTACTGACATGCATGTACCAGGAAAACTAAAGAACTACTTAGGTACATGGATATAAAAAATTAGGTTTGACATGACTGTATCTTTTTGATTCTATAAAGGAGATGAACCCATTTCAAAAAATAAGACAAGATATTGTGCTATTTTGTGACCAGTCAATATCTCGTCTCTACAAAGCCAGATTCTGACCCAGAACGAAAATATCTCAGAATCTAGCTTTGGCACGTCAAATTGGTCAATATATTTTGACTCAAGTGAAATATGATAATTTTCATACCACAAGATGAAAATAAAACCAATCATGAGTGACAGTAGCCAGGCGTGAAATATCAAATTCATACCACATGATGAAATCTAGATCTGCAGAAAAAAAACTTGAATTTTCAGTTTACTTTATACTTTTTTCTCATTTATTTATGACATTGCAGTTTAAAAGACTTCTTTCATTAATTTTGTTATGGGATTTTTTTAAATCGTTATTTTTTTGTTTTGGATAGATTTTCGGGTTCCTGTGGTAAGTCAAACTGCTAAATTACACTGACTTTATATGTCTAAGGGGAAATCAATACAATAGTCTGACCGAATGAGATTTTGTTTACTTATTCTGAAACAATCGAGCCGTCTTTTACATTTTTTTCATGATTTGAATGGGTTATGAAATATGAACTTACATTTTTCGCAAACCATTTTGAAAGATTTTAATGGAATATAGGGAAATTTCTAGTGTTATCGTTTACGACAAAAACTTGTTTTTGTTTGTGAACTTGTAATTTTACATAGTCATAATAGTCACTTTATAACATCGCTAAAATCCGTATACCCGTTATACAAATCATTACGGAAGTAATTAGTAGGCATCAACATAATGTCTGATTTATTTTGTTTATTAAAAATCATGTTTTACAAAATAAGAAATTTAACTAGTTTCCAAGGCATCATAATTTGTCATCAAACCTAATTTTGATCATGAATTTTTTTGTCGGCCATGCACGTATGTTAATACCACGGATTATATTATATTGTAATATAACTCCGTGGTTAATACATGTATACAAATGTATATATTTATATTGTTTATTGATTTGAAAGATCCTGCGTAAACACACGGTTAATAAGCTTGTTTTTTTTTTAAATAAGAGCAAATTTACTAGTTATTTCAGTAATAATGCATGTAATCAAACATTGAAGGCACGTACCGTTTCAATTTTTATGAAATTCAATGATTAATATAAAAGTTGTAATTCAAAAGAAATTCTAACAGATTTAACACAATTCTACGGTGGCACAGAGGTGACGCGTGTGTGTTGTTTTTTTATCTCGTGCGCGCGACTTAGTAACTTATGCGCACGAGATAAAAATTTACCAATCAGATTACACTATATATATGATTTTTTTTAAGCTTAGAAAATTCCTGGTTAAAGTTTTACAAGCGACATTAATCTTTGAAATTATTGAAGGTCTCACTGGATACATGTCTTTAAGATCATATTAGGAGGTCACTATCCAAGGCCTATAAATGAGACATTAAATTTGACTAAGTTATGACCCTTTGTGGGGACCATCCTGTGATAGGGTTGATCAGAACGTACGTACTAACGGCCTGTTAACCTTGTCTATACGATAACTTGAGAAGGAATAAACCCTGGCTTATTTTATTTGGTAGGGACATTGTCCATGGCCAGTAAATGACCTCTATTGATGGTTATGGTCATAAGGTCAAAGGTCAAGGTAACCAAGACACTACATGTATAATCCGTGTCTGATGAATAACTTGAGAATGAATAAGTCATGGTTTATATCACCTAGCAGGGACATTTAACATAACCACTAGATGACACCTAATGATTTTGTGTTCATTGGGTCAAAAATCAGGGTCACAATGACGCTAAGTGTAAAAACATTGTTCAATCAATAACTTGAGAAGGAGTAAGCCATGCGCTTTGTTACATGATAGGGACATTGCCCTTAGCCCCTTAATTAGTATCCAATAGAAAACCATATTAATTTCAATGTCATAAGGTCAAAGGTAAAGGCCACAGAGACCCTTGTCGAATCAATAACTCGAGAATAAATAAGCCATTGTTTATGTTACTCGGCAGGAATATTGGTCAAGGCAAATGTATATGACCACTATTGATCTTAATTTAGTAAATTCAAAGGTCAATGTCACAGTGAAACTTATAAAGCATAAGTGTGTAATATATGCCAGTGTGACAGGCAGGTGAAGTACGGGCATCACTGTCCTACGGCACATTTCTAGTTAACTAAGATATACATAAATGAATCAGCAGATTGGTTAATTATGTTGTGCGCACCACTTAATTATCTCGTGTGCACAACCTAGTAACTCTTGCGCACGAGTTACCAAGTCGTGCGCACGACTTTGTATTTCTTGCGCACCACTTATCTGTCTTACATTGGTTGCCGGTGAAAGCAAGGATTGGATTCAAAATACTTTCTTTCACGTGTAGCTGTTGCACATTAACAGATCACCTATGTATTAAATAGGATCAAATTGTCCACACAGGCCGAACATATCCTTTCCATTTTCTGTGATTGCTTTTTAGGGGGGGGGGGGGGGGGGATAAATCACACTTTCCATATTTTCGTGTTAACCGGATGATTCTTGTGTCTAAAACACACATGCAACCATCAAAACACTCATACAATCATCATGTGGAGATATGACAAGTCCAAAACCCACCCTATTGTAAACTGTGCAATATTTATCTGTAAACTAAGTTTTTAGGGGCGTGTATACGTTTCTTTATACTTATATTATTTTTGTAACACCTTTTAAAAGATGTTTGTCATTATTCTATTTTCTTTTATTTACTCAAACTTTGATTGATATTGTGTTGATAAAATTTGTTAAAAGTGGAACTTGTTGTTTGATACTTGTTGGGAATAATATTAAAGTAACCGATTTTACAAGATAAAAATTCTCGTATAGTCCAACAAATTTGACAAAGGCCTCAGCACACCCTATTTTGGCCACTCAGCGGTACTTTTCTCTGTGGTCCAACACGTGAAGTAAAGGACCGTTTTATTCACATGGATGTGAAGAATATGATAGGTGAAAAGATATGATCAAACAGGTGGGTTACAATACAACGTCTGAAGAACGCCTGAACAAATTAAAAGAAAGTCGATATTTCGAGTTAATAAGTCGAAATTTCGGGTTAGTAAGTCGAAATTTCGAGTTAATAAGTCGAAATTTCGAGTTAATATGTCGAAATTTCGAGTTAGTAAATCAAAATTTCGAGTTAATAAGTCGAAATTTCGGGTAAGTAAGTCAAAATTTCAAGTTACGGAAGTCGAAATTTTAAGTTGATCAGTAGATATTTCGAGATTAGTAACTCCAAATTTCGAGTTGATAAATAACGCACACCTGGAACTAATGTTCTACCGTAAATATATTTTGACTAGGTGTTGATTAGGTGAATATTTATGGTTTTTTTTAATATTTGTCTTTCATTTTATTTTATTCTATTTATTTATTTATTTATTTTTTTTTTTCATTAATTTATTTATTTCGAGGGAGGGGGGATTTACCATCTTGTATATTAGAGTAATATTTTAAACAAGGAAGCTTTGAAAGTTGTAAACATGCATCATGTTAGTCATGGCGAAAGAGGAAGTATTGCGAAACATAGATACATAATGTCGTTGTAAGAAGTCATTTTCACTTTCGATTCTTTGTTGTCTTACTATTTCAAGATGATATCTAATTACAAAACAACTCACAAGATTCTGAATACGTATACACTCAATGACCCACGATGTGTGACAAAAAGCAAAATCAGCAGAATTCACAACAATTTAAACATAGCCTAGACACTAAAGTCTTAACAGAAATATCGACGACAAACACGACTTTTTCCCCAAAAGTATTTAAGACATCCTGAATGGTTTGAAAACTATATATACATGCTTATAACTGTGTATTAATTGTTTTGTTGAATCATACTTACATCTATGTTAACTACTTTTTTCAACTTAAAACATGAAAAAAAAATGTTTAGCGATAGAATGGATTTTATCTATCATAGTTTGTTTCAGTAATTATGTATTTGTTCTTAGAATATAAAAAGGTCTTGTTTACTATAGTGTCACCACTACTGAAAGGGCCAGCCATTTCTGACTTATGAGACACCTTTTGCTTGCATATCATGTACCTCCCAACTCTTACCACTATGCCATGGCAGGCGCCAGGCGGATAGAAATCGGTAACCATTCTTTTTAAAGATCCTGTAACTCATTTTATATGGTTTTATATCATAAATGAAGATTTATCAATATTGTAAGTTCCAATAAGCATTATTTGTAAAGATATTACCGAATTTACATTTAATGTTAATTAGAAATTTATTTTCTATAAAGTCCAAATTAAATTTTTCAATAAGAAATGAATGCATTTATTTAAAGTATTACATATGATGCGGACAAATATTTGCAGTACATATTTTACATATTCTTCTATGTTTGAAAATTGTTTTACAAGCATAATTATATACTTACATAAAATTTCACATAAGTGTGGTAACAACCCTAAATACGACATACAGGATATTTAACTACCAGGCGGCCATTTCGGAACGAGTCCCACGGGGAACATTCATCTTTCAATTAACGCTCAACTTGGGGCACGAACCTTCGACCTCCCGATCCGAAGGTGGACGCCTCAACCACTAGGCCAACGGTACCGGATATATATGTAGATTTCGGTTGAGAAATACAATTGATGTATGACATCACAGTGACATTAAAGACCTATTTATCCCCAAAACTGCTTACATTTCTCGAACGTCTATTTTATTTTTGACAGTTTTTTTGGTCTTTTTAGTCATTTCCATGTAGCTTATCTATGTATTGTTTCTTCTTTTCTTTTTGGCGTTTAGATATAGTATTTTGTATGGAAAACAAAATACACTTTTTTAACATTTTGCTTCTTATATGACAAAGTATTATGTACATGTATTTCGCATTAAACGTTGATTTCTCCATCACGTGATTAGCATGTCAAATGCTCTAAAGAAATTATCAATACACTTTAAAACACAGGGTTGTCCTTTCTTTAGAGGAAATCCCTATATCATCTACTTAACTACCAAACAATCACCATTCTTTCACAATAATGACACTTAAGTTTGAGTCATTTGATGTTGTTTTTTAGGTCTGTTATGTGTGTTTAGTGTTTTAGTCGGAATTTCCTTCTACTGTATACGTATTTCCAAACAATAAAACAAAGGGAATTTCGAAACTCGCCTTCTTACATCTCTTGTGTTAAAATAAAAACGTAGGTGGTGACATGTGATTGTATTAAAATTTGCACAAGAACAATAAATAAAAAAAGAAGAAAATGGCTTTAAAAATAGTTTTTATTTATTGTTTATTATACTGATTTTCATTTTAAAAACATTCAAAGTTCTTTGTTTTCTACTATCTTTATTTCTCAAACGCTTTTATGATCATAAGATATCAATTATCATCATGATCATGGAGAAATGTTCGAGGATCGAACAGGCTGTTTCTAATGACCTTTATGTTAGCGAGCGGACCGTTATATATATTACTAAAATACAGTTTATTGTAAGAAAACTGCCATCATAAAGAAAATGGTGGATTTTTTCCTGTTTCATTTTTTTTTGAAAATTAATACAGTTGTAAGTAAGTATTGCAATGAAGTTACAATACTACTTTGATTATAAGTTATGACAAATAATTTGAGCCGCGTCATGACAAAACCAACATAATGGGTTTGTGACCAGCATGGATCCAGACCAGCCTGTAAATCCACGCAGTCTGATCAGGATCCATGCTGTTCGCTTACAAACCCTATAACAAGCAGAGAAACTAATAGCGAACACCATGGATCCTGATCAGACTGCGCGGATGCGCAGGCTGGTCTGGATCCATGCTGGTCGCAAACCCATTATGTTGGTTTTGTCATGACGCGGCTCATTTCACATTCAGCGCTACTGTAAACAGGTAATAAGCATCTAACATACTCTTAAGACATTTTTAACAAAAGTTAAAAAAAACTCATGCTTGCCCTTTATAACTTCATTTGTTTCTGAGGCATTATGTTCTTTATTAAGGAGGTGGTTTAGACTCAATTGATTTAGATTGTGATTTTACATTTGTAAAATTCTTTTTTTACATGTATTTATTAACTTTTAATTTTTCTGTGCATTTTATTTTAGTTTTAAACTTATATAATTGATGCTTTATATCTGCTGTAACTTAACCCAAACAACAAAATAAACGAGTATGTAATTTAATAATAAATAACAACAACGGCTCCATAGCTCAGTGGTTAGAGCGCCTGTCTAGTAAACAGGAGGTCGAGGGTTCGATCCCCTCTGGAGCCTTTTGCCAAGACCGTTACGTGTTGTGTTTTTTCCGTTTTTTTTCTACTAAGAAAAAAGGAAAGTAATGGAAAACAACAAAAGCTACATTTTTTAAGATTTAATGCTAATGAATTAGTAGAATTGAATAACAATTTTTCCGACATTTGTCTTTTGTATGATTGAATAAGTTAGTATTTTTCGCAAAAACATTCCATTTTTTTTCTGGTATCGTGTTACAGTTTAAAAAAAAAGAAAAAACTCATTTGCCACACAAAGATGAACAATCTTTTACTTCTTTTGCTCTGTTGTCAAATGGTATAATTACATGTATATTGAATTAGTATTTTGTATACGGAAGTCAAATTACTACTTTATTTACATTTTGTCATAACTGCACATTCAACGCAACTTTCTTCAGTTGTATAACATCTATAGGTCTAAATCCATTATTAAAACATTATTAAACACATGTTTGACATTTCTAAAGAATTATAAAAAAAGTATGGATTTTTAAGGCATAATATGACTTAAATGTATGAATTATTATTAACTTTATCTTAAAGGCTCATTATATCTCAGAATTTATTTCTCAAAAGCTTTATATTTTTGCTGTGCTTTTACACTTTTCAAAATGTTACTCATTGGCCAATTAGCTTAATCCTATTTTTATTATCTGTTGTTGCCTTTTGGCAATTAATACAGTTATAGTGATTTAGCATTTTTGTATGGAAGTCAAAATACTACTTTATTTACATAATGCTTTTTATGATATATATTCTCCGATTTATGGCTACTTTCTTCAGGTTACACTCATCTAACATGCTCTGCAAAAACATCATTAAAACGTTATAAAATTCATGGTCGCCCTTTTCTAATGAAGTAAAAAATGTATTCGTTTCTGAAGCATATTGTGCCTTTAAGATATAATTTGAATATGTGAAGCTTATAGCTTTATCATTTATAACAGATTAATTCTTATCTTATTAGCACAATTAATAAAACATTTGTCAAAACAACAGTACAGTAATGTTGTGAGGATTTTTATAATACTTTTTCTATTTTTATAACTATTCTTTAAATTATTTAACTGAAAGTTAATAATCTAAGTAAAGTTTTGAAGATTTTATAATACTTGTCACACAGGATAAGCGAATGTGTAAGATAAAACGCGAATAAGGAAGAAAAAAATACCAAAAATGAGCAATTGATGGTTATAAAACCACGTGACCGGATGAATTAGTTTATGAATGTGAATGCTTGTTATCTTATACATGTATATGTATATGAACATCACATTTGCATCTACGGTGACATACATCTTTTATTTAGAACGTGCGCATGTTACAGTTTTACGTAGCCACGCAAAGGGTACGCTAGTGCATGTAAAACATATCTTGGGCCACGAAATGTTTTTTTTTCTCTCTTTTTTTCTTCTCATTTAGTTTATATTTCAAAAGCATATTTATACAATCAATCACATTTTACATGCAATATTGTATGACAAGATATGAAATACACCTGCTATTCACGTCCGCACGTCATATAGCTATCGCATGGCCGCGTAATTTTATCGCGTGAGCACGTACTGGATATCTCGTTACCACGTCATATTTGTCACCTGACCACGTATTAGCTATCTCGTGCGCACGTGCGCCACCACTAACATAACTACCATTATCTTGTCATAACTTTTGCTGTATATTCCGCTTTAAAGTTCGGCCGTGGTCAAGTGAAGAAGCGTTTGCTTGCGGGTTCGAAACCCAGCTGGATTCAGGGCCTGAGGTGATAAAGAAAATCTTCAAGCTCAAACACTGCATGACCAATGAAAATCCGAGATTTGAGACAATTCAAGGCCATTTCTACTCGAAGCAATTGACAGAATCTCCACATTAATATGATTTTGTGTAATATAGTATCTCTTCATATATAGATGCATTAAAAATGATTCCCCACATTCATATAATCTCGACACTGTTCTAGCCAGTACTACCGACATAATAGTAACACGTCAATCAAAATATCGTTTCTTATCACTTTAATAATGATCTTTGAATTTCAGGATTTTCATTGGTCAGTGAACATTCTGTAGGAGTTTCTGACCAATCAGATATCTGAGATCTGAGTTTTAGCGTAAAGTATTTCTTTAAAACCTCGGGCCCATGTTGAATGAAACGCTGAGAATACGCAATCTGGCTTACATACCCTAGCGCGCATTCGATTGACCTATAACTATATAACTTCCCCATCTACAAAAAGAAAAAACTTGTTTGTACGATGTCTATATTAATTCGAATTTAAGCCGCGTCATGACAAAACAAACATAGTGCGTTTGCGACCAGCATGGATCTAGACCAGCCTTCGCATCCGCGCAGTCTGATCAGGATCCATGCTGTTCGCTATAAGTTTCTCTACTTGCCATCCTGATCAGACTGCGCGGATGCGCAGGCTGGTCTGGATCCATGCTGGTCGCAAACCCACTATGTTGGTTTTGTCGTGACGCGGCTCATTTATTGCTTTTGATGGTTTGCGGCATATACATTTTGTATCATTTGATCAGTATATTAATTCATATATGTAGCCATAAATACCAGACGAAGCTTTGAACCGGATCCTCTTATTTAACTTTGTCCTTGAAGTAAAACGCATCATCTATTCTATTTTAGACATTTGCACATTACTTTTAAGTGTCTTCTTTTTTTTACTTTTGCACATAACCGTATGAATAAAAACCGGTAAGGAAATCCCTGCTGTTAAAACTGAAACTAAAAGTAAATGTTTATACTTGAAGTTATACTTTGAGCTCTAAGAATTTCCGCCCATGGTATATAAAATAAGTGTTGCTGTTTTTAGTGTATTCTCTTGCCTATTGCGCGTACACTTAATTTCATAATTTGAACTTTTTCATACTGAATATTATTTTGATTATTTTGCTAAAGTAGATATTGTTAAAATTATTATAAAAGTTATTACTTTATTACATTGCTCTCGTTTGGAAAAATGTATTAAATAGTTTTAACCAATATATTTTCTGGTGAACTATTACATGTTTATTTAGGATAAAAAGGTAGCTACATATTTCTCATAATTATATTATGGAGTACATATTGAGGACGATAGCGTCTCTAAGAAGCGTCATCATTGTTATAGCCACGCCTATTTTACTTCTTCCGCTCATTACAGTAATAGAAGGACAGGTACGTTTGTCGTAATATATAGAGGATATTCTTTTTTCCCTATAAATACAGGATTTATTTTCATCGAGTGGTATGAAAATAAATATTTCACAAGTGGCAGTAGCCACGAGTGAAATATGATATTTTCATATCACAAGATGAAAATAAATTCTGTATAAATAGAAAAAAGTTGAATTTTTTGTTAATTGTATACTTTTTCAATTTTTAACCTTATGAATAGGAAGAATTCTGATTAATTTTGTGTATTGGTTGAATTTAGAAGAACGTAGTCTGGAAAAATACCAGTGAAAATATGGAAAATATGTTTCATTACAGTGAAAAATAAAATTTTAACAGTGAGAACACAAAAATGAAAATACGCATTTTAATACATGTAGTATTTCATCAATATTTCCTAATATTTCATTGATAAGTAAATAATAAAGAAAAAATATTTTTAGATATATAAATTTTGTATATAACATTAAAATATCATTTTGATTACTTTGAATCATATTTGTACTTTGTATAAAAACCTTAATAAGAGTTACCAAGTGATGATATTTAGGGGAACTAACTCATAATTAATTAGGAGTTTTTCAGTACGGACTTCAAGTAATTGCATGAGTGCTAGATGGTGATAAAATAAGGTGATAAAATAGAAAAAAAGAAGAATCCTTGAGTAAAGATCGTTCAAAACGACAAAATTGAAATGGTACAGGCTCGGTTTGGTTGGACCTGTTTATGGTCTGTACTGAAAAAGGCCTAAACAGTTTTCAACATTTACTATGGAATCCTTTATGTGAGTTAGTACCATCCCAAGAAACGCGCCAAAATGTTAATAATGTGTTTGTGTGTGTTTGTGTCAGAAACGAAAAACAAATGTCTGAAACTGAATAAAGGGGATTTAACATTTTGGTTTATGAGCAACGTTTTTAAAAATGCAACATTTCTTTCTTTCTTTCTTTCTTTCTGTCTTTCTTTCTTTCTGTCTTTCTTTCTTTCTGTCTTTCTTTCTTTCTTTCTTTCTAAAAAATGAAAAATGATTATTGAAGCTTAATGGGCCTTTAATATATAAAAAGCTACAACAACCCATATTTAACTACCCTACCAGCTTAAAGAACGCCGGTGGTTCTACTCAGGTGCCTCATCATATGCAAAGGGGCACCTGAGGTCTTCCTTCACCAGTAAAGCTGGAAAGTGGCTATTATGACCGTTTACCAAACCAAACCAAACCAAACCAACCAAACAAAAAGAAGGTGCCCATCGAATATAAATGGATCATACATATTTCATCAATTAATACTATATCAAAATGTTTCACGTTATATTATAAAGTCACATCTCTCGTTATCTTTAATGCTTGCAAAATAAAATGCAAGAAAAAACATCGAATAACAACAAGAACCTTTCTTTGTCAATTGCTATTATACAATAATCCTTATAAGCTGTAAATGATTTAATCTAATTTACAGGAATCATCATGCGCCTATGTGATGTTGATAATGGCGGTATTCTGGATAACAGAAGCGCTTCCTATCAATGTAACTGCTCTACTTCCGGTTTTCATGTTTCCATTTGTTGGAGTTCTGTCGGCTGGCGAAGTTGCTAGCGTTTACTTCAATGTAAGGATGAAATGTTTATTCTGTATTTTTTCATAACATTAATTTTATCACACATAGCTACACACTTATTTAACACCATCGGTAATTCTTTTATAAACACTGAAGCCTTCAAACTATTCTTTCACAAATTCAGAAAATAAGATATTGAGATCCTTAAAAATAATGATCGACCGCTTGCATAGAAAAACAACCTTAACGTCATTTAGTTTTTTAGATTGACATATTGAATCAAATTGATAAAAACTTCTCAAAATTGCTTGATCGTTACTTATTCATAATTACTTATCTTTAACATTTTAAGGGTAAATCACTTCTTTGTTTTTAACGTCAATGTAAACGTTCACGTCTTTTGACGACAGTTGTAAAATGACATTAAGGGTCGTGTTTTCATGACGGCATTCAATTATCATAACATTATGTTATACAGAGTACAACATTGATGTTTATCGGAGGCATGGCAGTCGCTGTGGCAATAGAAGAGTGGTAAATACATAAACGAATAGCGTTAAAAACATTACTTACTATCGGAGCTCGACCAGTTTGGTAATTAAATGTTGTTAAATCGTCAAATTTAGGAAAATTAGATGTTTAATTAAGGACTCTGTGGCAAGGTGTTTACGGTTAAAATCCTGCCATGGACATTTTTATCTGACCAAGTAGCCTAAGGAAACGTTGGGAGTTCTACTCGGATGACCCTCTCGCGACACAAATTATGCACAAATTGTCTGTGCCATCCCCGTCATCTATAAACTTTTCACAGTTAGAGTGACTAAAATTGCAACAACAAAAAAAACCCCAGAAAAAACAACAACAAAAAACATACATTATACATATAAATAATAAAATAATTGCGTATGATTTCAAATCGTTTTGATTTTATACTAGTATTTATTAATTATCGACATTTTAAGATACAATTGTGCAGCGTGGAAACATGGTACAACGCTTATAGTAGGCACACGAATCTTCATATTAGATTAACTTCATTTGTCAAGAAAACTAGACTAGCAACAAGAAAACTAGACTAGCCAGTCTCATTACAATTATGGAAAATATTTATCACTCCTACACCCTTGCGCTGGATTGAAAAAGGAGCATACCATAAGACCGTCAATCTTGTCATATACCTTGTCAAGAATAGATAAATCTGTTTTTAATACAAAGTTATTACAGGAATCTATAGAACTGCTAAGAGTTAAAGTTATGTTAAAATACATCAAATGTCAAGAGAGTTTCTTGTAGTGATCACCTTTTTACAGGCTAATGTTAGGACTAATGCTGACGTCATGGTTCCTGTCTATATGGATCAGTAATACAGCGACCACTGCAATGATGTTACCAATAGTTGCTGCAATACTTCATCAGCTTAAACTTAATAAGAAGTTCAAGAAATCAGGTAAATAAAATGTCCTTGATGGGATGCCCTATTTCATATCAATTATAGTTATTTTATCCATTATCATCATTATCATCATCATCGTCATTATCATCATTATCATTAACACTATTTTTTATCATCATCATAGATATCATCGTAATTATGACCATCATCATCATAATTATTATCATTTTATCATATTTCTTCTTTCTTTTTAGCTCGACTATTCGATAAGAATAAGAAGAGCTAACCTAACGTCGGCGTCGGTGTCGGCGTCGGCGTAACCACTTTTTTGTAACACCTCACATATTTTCAAAGTCCATTGACATAACTATTGCTTTGAAACTTTGCACACTTGTTCACCATCATGACTCCAACCCGTAGACAGGAGGAGTTAACTCTATCAAACATTTTGACAGAATTATGCCTCTTTTTCGACTTAGAATTTACGTTAAAGTTTGCATACCACCTCAGATATTTTCATATTTCATTGTCATCTAGCTTTGAAACAAGTTGATAAACACTGCTTTTAGAGCATAATAGGACTCTGTCCAAGGCCTATAACATGTATTTGTAAAAAAATAGCCATTTGTGAACTTTAAAGTTTTACATTATCAAGGCTCTGTAACACCGCACTTTGGGGTCAAATGCACTTTGGGGTCCGACCCCAAAGTGCGTTAAACTTCGCACCGCACTTTGGGGTCCAACGCACTTTGGGGTCAAAATCGAGAAATTGACCCCAAAGTGCGTTAATATGCTACATAATAACGCACTTTGGGTTCAAGAGGTCTAAAGGTGTCATCTGAGTTCTGCCTAAATACTGAGTACTGACTTATTTTCTATCTGCGACATTGGAATATTTGAGGTGGTGTTCAAGATGGCGGCCAATACTTTATGATGCTTAAGTGATAAAAGTTTCATTAATTTTACCACTTGAAATATCTAAAAATTGTGTTCATATAACAAAATTACGGTGGCATAAAAGTGACATTTGCATTTTTTTTTAGTTTTGTATACATACTTTATTTTAGTTGTGCATACATATTTTTTTCAGTTTTGCATACATATTTTTTTAGTTTTGCATTCATATTTTATTTTTGTTTTTCGTTCATATTTTATTTTTGTTTTTCATACATATTTTAGCCAATAAAAACAGCCTTCAAATCTCAGAACAGCCCATAGTTGAGTATTAAAACTAGCACAGTGGTTTCGGTCACATTTCGGCCCATTGTCGGAATCGACCAGTCGTTTTCGGCCGGGAAGTCTGGTTTCGGCGACCCTTTCGGCCATTTTTTATAATTATATGTATTTTATATAATTATTGTTTTTTTATTATTATATACTATTATATTAGTGTCTATTTGGAAAGGGCTGTTGATTGGTGATCAGTTAAAATTCCATGAATATGCACCACTTAACCCCACCCCCTAAGAATAGCGGCGGGGGGGGGGGGGGCATTGACTTTAAACCAATCTGGAAACAAAGTGATCACCCGGAAGCATTAATCACAACAAAATAACATAAGAATTGCAGACTCGGTATTTGACTTCCATATACAATACTAATTCACTATAACTGTACTCATCATTGCCAAAAAGCAACAGATGAAAAAGATGGTTCAGGTAATTGGCCAATGTGTATTTTTTGGATAATATAGAAGAACATCAAAATAAAAAAGCTTTTAAGAAAAACAAATAAAAGCATAATGGACCTTTAAAACGTTATTTTTAACCCTAGGGGGATCGATACCCCAGAATCCCCTCTATACCCCCAGTGAGAATTTTACATTATTCTGAAGCTCCGCTCTTAATGTGCGACTACTTAAATAGTTGATATTTTTAGTACTGCATGTACGGATTACTACTTAAAGCCGCATCTACACCTAGTCAAGTTTCTTATGTGTCACATTTAGCTAAATAAATGGCTCTTTCAACATATTATCAGGCACATTTTTTACTGAAATATCTTACTAAGATTTCCCAGAATTTATACATTTGTCTATGCTAAGACTATATATTTCTTTTGAAATACATAATTGTATACATAATAAAATACATAAATACATAAATACATAAATATGTAAATGGGAAATTTGAGAAAAAATATTTTAAGCTTAATAATTGATACAAATTCTTTATTTGGTGATTTATTTGGTGAAAGTTCTTCACTTACTAATTAAGACCATTTAAATCCCTATTGATATACAATACAATACAATACTCTTACAATGATTCTACTATAATTCAGGGCACATGTTTGTGTCTATTTAATACCTTGTTTTTCGTTTACCATTGGCTTTGACTACAATATATTATTTAAAACATAATGAACATTAATTTTCTATGACCCCAAAGTGCGATCGTTTGCCTGATGTTAAAATATGCATATGTACCTGTTTAACGCACTTTGGGGTCGAAATTGGACCCCAAAGTGCGTAACGCACTCTGGGGTCGGACCCCAAAGTACGTTACGCACTTTGGGGTTTGACCCCAAAGTGCGTTTGACCCCAAAGTGCGGTGTTACAAGGCTCTTTTACACACTTAGAATAGTCGAGCATGCTGTCCTACCGACAGCTCTTGTTTTTATTTATATTATTATTTTTTGCGGCTCTGATGGTAGAAAGTAAGAAACGTATCATAAATGTTTGCAATTTACATGTGGTTTATGGAAATTCTGTCTGGACAGTAAAATGTTTTAGGTTCCTACATTAACTATGTGGAAGATGATGTCAATGTACACATGTTGTCAACATAAGCTTATGAATGTCCGCAAATTACACGTTAAAACAAATGCACATGAAAATGTACATGGAAGTCTGTCATTTTCCTGTTAACTTATCTATACATTTTTTACTACCATATTTCATATAAGAAATATTCTTGGCTATATTAAAAATGACCTTTATGTATATGTTAAATCAAGACCACAGTGATGAAAAGTTTGAAAACCAGGTAGAGCTGTTGTGTGTTCATAGTAAAGACAGTGATGCTCGTGTAGATTTGAACGCTCAAGCAGACGTGGAGATTCATGTTCAAGACGGGTATGATACATGTATATTATGGATATTATTAGAGTAGCTTTACAGAAAGGTTAAAATAATAAAAGTAATTTTTAATGATCTGACAGTTTTTGTGAAATGAATTCATGCCGTTTGTAGGAAGAATATACGAAACAACAACAACAACAACAACAACAACAAAAGTAAAAAAAAAAACAACAACAATAAACACAAAACTATTGTACAATTTTATTAGTTGAAAGAAATAAAACACTCGTAAGATATCTCTGATTTTCAGCTTGTTCATTTTATTTCTTTTACAAGTTGGAATAGCACTTATTGGCTTGAAACAAGTCCTTTTTTAATTACTTTTTTCTTCTAAAGAACTGGAGTAAACGCAGACGAGAATGATACAACTTTAAGCGCAGATGAAAACTTAGCAGACGACAATGATGAAGCAGACGAAGAATGGACTCGGATGAGCAAAGCTCTTTCACTATGTATTGCTTATGCAGCAAATATTGGAGGCACTGCTAGTATGACAGGCAGCACTCCTAATCTTGTGTTGAAAGGACAGCTCGAAATGTATGTTATAATGCCATTCATGTATTTTCTTTTAATTTTCATGTATACTTTGTTAATCAATTATGTTGACAAGAATAATATAACGATTATGAATAATATATTTCATGTATCTGTTCCAGATAAGAGTTGACCTTATCTTTTGGTACTCAAAGTGGAAACAATTTGCCCCAGAAATTCTTTGATTTTTATTTCTCAAATAATTGTTAGTATTCTTTTATAGTTTCCAACAATTTACTCATTGGCCAATTACCTGAACTGTTTTCTTCTTTTTCTGTTGCTTTGTGGCAATTGGTACATTAATATTGATTTAGTATTTTGTATTGAAGTCAAAATACTATTTTATTGACATTTTGCTACTTTTATGCCCTATAATTTTATATTTAGTCCTATTTTCTTCAGGTAACCAGCATCTAACATACTCTAAAATCATCATTTAAACGTTATAAAACGTTATAATGACCTTTCTAAAGAAGTAACAATTTATTCATTTCTGACGCACATAATGTACGTTTAAGATACCTAGCGTTTCCAAAACTGTATCTTGAATTCATTGTCTGTATATAGATCTGTATCATCTACATTCTTCAAATCTGTACTACAAATAATCTTGGAATATAATTTTAACATGTAATTCATTCTCCAAGGGTGTACGAGAAATTTGGAAGAGAGTCTCCAGTCACATTTGGAGGTTGGTTGCTCTTTGGTATACCTACTTCATTCACAATCATCATACTATCATGGCTTTGGTTGCAAGCCTATTTTCTTAGGTGCAGGTAATTTCAACTTTTACTTTTATCTATATTGTAAACAGTGTTAAATAGGAATAGACTTAATTTCTGACACCATTGTCTTTTAACAAGTAACTAAAATTAAATTGAGATATATTTTGTATCAAAGAAAATACCTGAGTGTAACGAGATTTATTCAATGACTTAGTAGAATCCCGTCGGAAGTATTATTTATTGTAAGAGGCATATTATCGTTCGATTTATTCTACAACCAAACCAGTTTGGATTATGCTAGTTTGATGATCAAGACCCCAGCCTAATTATCAAAATGGCGGGCACAATTCAAAATGGCCGCCAAGATGGCCACCAAAGTCGGGTATTAGTTATTAGCCATTTTGACAGTTAGTGATTTTGCATTGTGACATTCCGGAAACAGGTACGATAGGAAAGAATTTGACATTAACCGGTACCCTGCTATATACCTTAAAAGGATTTGTCTAATTTTCAATCTCGACAAAACCATTTATCCATATATACATTTATATTTGTCATTAAAAATATTCACTGACTAAATAGTTACGACATTGAGTACGGTCCGGTATGTCAAATAGATATTTCAGAGCAGAGTTATTCACACTTGCAAGTTTCTGTGTTAAACGTTTGGACATACATTCACCCAGATCACTCACTAAATTGGACAGAATAGATATTGTAGGCACTTTTAAAGCTTTGTTTGCGCTATTAATTTTAAATACTAATATTAATATCTAATCAGTCACGTGATTATTTTATTTCAGAGGTTGGTCAGGATGTTGTTTGAAGAAAGGCAATGTCGATGAAACAGTGATCAGACAAATTCTGAAAAAGCAGTACAAGAAACTTGGATCATTTAGGTGATTATATGATCATTCGGATATATGATCGTTTGGTTGATGACTTGAAACGATTCATTAAATTCATATCATAACGTTAAATAATCGAGTACCAGAATCAATATGTGTCCAGATAAGAAACTCTAATTTCAACTTATGTTTCTTTGATACAATTAACGGACGGATTCGATTATCTAATCTTTGTTTTTTATGATTTTCTTTATTCTGTTGTCTGACAACATTTATTCTTGTATTTGAATAGTTTTAAATGTCTGCAAAATACAAATCTTCTACACAAAACCTCGGTTGTTTTGGTTTCAAGTTATAGTTTTAAATGCTATAATTACAGTCTATATCATATGGTGATTCCCTGGCATTTGTTAAATGCATTATTTATTATTATGTTCTAGATAATTCACAAAAAAAAATCACAATTTACAAATATTGATAAACATGTACATGTATATTAATATACATGTATTTCAGTTTCGGACAGGTTGCCGTCCTTTTGCATTTAGTGGCTATAGCGATGCTATGGATAACACGTGACATGGGAGGCTCTTTTGGTTGGTCAAATCTGTTCAAAGATAAGTGAGTATCTATTTCTTCGTTTTATGGTGGAAAACTAAAGTGAACATTCCAGAAATACTTCATAAGAATATCCAAGTGATTACTCTAATGCTAACAACCTCTTGAAAAACATGGAAATGGAAGCAAAATGTGAGTGAAACTTTTAAACGGGGGCTCCAATCGCTTTGAAATGGACATGAGGACATAGCTCTCTCTAAGACGAATCAACCGGTTCAATAAAACTAAACAATTTCAAAATGGTAGTTAGCTCATTATAAGACTAAGTTGACGATATGTAAAGTTGAGCAAACAGCAGTAAAAAGTCGGATCATATTGCATAGATGGTATACACAGGTCAGTCAATATCTACGTTTGCACACCAATGGTAAAGGGGTCTTTGCTAAGAGAACAAAAACCTTCAAAGTTAAATAACTCTTATATTGAGACGGTTTTTTTGGCTTCCGTAAAACTAATATGTTATACAATAATTATTATTTCAGGTTTATAAGAGATTCAGTACCAGCAATATTTGTAGGTTGTTTATTATTCATTTTCCCATCACAAATACCCAGACCGGAAATGTTTCGTAACCAAGGTATGTCAGTTTTTTTTAAGTTCTTAGGTAATTTTATGATTTTTTTAAAAACATGATGTTCGACTATGAAAATTCTCTTACTGGGTGTCTTTAACTTTTTCTGATTAAAAATATTTTGTAAACCTAGTCGTATTTATCAGCGGGCTGTGGATAGTTATACAGTTCTTATACTCTTCATAAAGATATAAAAAAAAAACACAAACACAAAGAAAAATGTTTACATGTATTTTTCTTTCATTTTAGTTTGATATAGATATGTACATGTGCACATACTTAATTGCAATAAGTTGAAATGAATTGAATATTTTTATAATTGTAACAAGTTTGTTACTTACGCATCTAAGCTTTCCAAAGAATGAGTAAATTTGAGCAATGCAATCAAATACCAGGTTTGTAAGTCCCAGGGATGAATCACAAAATCGTAATTTGTTATTTGCAGCGGGGCAATTTAAATATAAATGATATGAATGTTTTCAGGGTCTAGATACCGGAAGTTAAAGCCGTTATTGACGTGGAAGGCATTCAATGAGAAGATGCCGTGGGGTGTGGTTTTTCTTCTGGGAGGAGGATTTGCAATGGCAAAGGCTGCTCAGGTAGATGATTAAAATAATTTTGATTATTGTATATAATTTGTCCCTCTTCTAATTTATATTATTATATAAAATGTCCACCATTAACTTCGGCTAATGCCTAGGTTAACATCACTTGGCTCGGGTGATACTTTCGTTCTTTTACCCTCACTAAGTTGTGCTTTTTATGTACTTCTTAAAAGGGGCCCGTGGCCAAGTGGTTAATGTCGTTGACTTCTAACCACTTGCCTTTTACTGCTGTAGCTTCGATCCGCTCCATCGTTTTTGAATTCTTTCATATGAGAAAGCTATCTAGCTAGCTCACGATACGTCGTTAGTTCTACTTAGGTGCCCGTATGTGCCTGAAATAATTCACAAAGGGACATCTGAGGTCTTCCTCCACCAGTAAAGCTGGAAGTCGCAATATGGCCTATACTGTGTTGATGCGACGTAAAACCCAACCAAAAATGTACCCCCCTTTTCCATCAGTATTGAAAATATACCCATATTTATGCATTACTCTTTTGAGCGCATAATTACAAATCTAAAACTGATTTTTTACGAGCGAACATTTTTACTCTTTGATCACAGGGCTTTGAGAGTTGTTATATAATGTTCTTTTACCCAAAGAATTTATGAGAAACAGTTTATTGCTAAAAAGTATTTGAAATTTAGGTATCTGGACTATCGGCTTGGATCGGGAGCCAGTTATCAGGTCTGGTGCATTTAGATGCATGGGTGCTCAACCTGGTTCTCTGTTTCGTCATAGCAGCGGCAACTGAAGTTACAAGCAACACAGCCACGACGTCATTAATGTTACCAATCTTAGCAGACTTGGTATAGAACATCTTTTTATCTCTATGTTGAAACATTGGATTTGTTCGTAATTTACTTATTTTTAATGTTTTGCATATATGTTAATGTGATGTCATTTCACGTCATTTTTGCGTTATACAAACACACCGTTAAGACGCGTTAAATACACTATAAGCATGTCAAGGGAAAGCGATTCATTTTACCGTCAACAGTTCTTTTTTGGATATGTGATAAATAGAATATGATATATATATTTTGTCGTGACACGGCTCATATATATTTGCATTTATATATACATTTATTATAATAAGTGATTTGTATAATTATTTCAGTCGATCTCTATCGGTTTGGAGCCAGTTTATTTGATGTTCTCAGCAGCCGTCGCCGCCTCGTTCGCGTTCATGCTGCCTGTAGCCACGCCCCCAAATGCTGTCGTTTTCTCATACGGCTTCATCAAAGTCGTAGACATGGTATCTGTTTATAATTTATGGCGCTTGGTATTTCATTACAACATAATAAATGATGTATTCATTCGTATTTTATGGTCCTTGCTGGAACGACAGAGTTTGTACTGTTGTTCTGCGAACATGTTTTACATAAACCATGCCATATGCGTTCGGCAAGTTACATAATATACGGTTCCCCTAGAAGAGAGCTTCTTTTATGACACTGGCCCTTCATGGTAATATTGCCACCCCATCATCTTTATTAACAAATTTTGGCGGGTGCGTTTACGAAAACATCTTGTGTTTATTTTTTAACGTCTCAGTTCAGGTTGTTGTATTTATGTTATTCACATAAATAAATGAAATTAATTTTCAGAATTAAGTACACTTTTAGTCTTTTATTATTTTTTTTATTCATTTCAATTTATTTTTTAGAAGGGGGATTCGGTTGGAGGACGTCATATTTTATATCACTGTTATAAATAAACAACTAATTAAATAAATAAACAACTGATTAAATAAATAAACAACTGATTGAAAAAATAAACAACTATTAAGATGATTATATTTGAAACTTTTTTTTGTTTATTTCAGGTTAAAGCCGGTTTTGTACTGAACATTATAGCAGTGATGGTTCTAGTCGCCAGTAATGAATTCCTAGGAAAACTTATTTTTCAAAACATGTGATACTAGTATTAGTAGAGAAAAATAACATAATTTATTTCATCAGAAATTTGTACTGATTTAAAATAGAGTATTGTAAAGTATACACACATTCATATATTGGATACAATTTTTATTGACGGGGTTCGCTGTTAGAAAGATATGGAGAATAAAGATTAAAGACAATTTCATAATTATGTATTGATGTTTGATTACTTTTGTTTTGTTATAGAATATATAAGAACATGATTATATTATCATGCCAGACTGCCAAGTATAATATCACTTTAGCATCTATGGAAAGCCATGGCTGTCTGATATTGTTCTTTTTCAATTTATGTAACCATTTGGATAATATATGAGTTCACTTCGACTATGTATGAATTGAAAACACCTTCTTATTTAACCGGAATCAATTTTATTAATCCACAGTTACAATATATGAAACCATACTGTCAGTGTATGAAACCGAGTTAGCAATATATAAGTTGATTTTCTCAATATATGATTCCAATTCTTCAATATATGGTACCAAAGTAGTCATGTATGGAACCAGATATCCTTATATGAAACCGAATTATCAATATATTAATTCATTTTTACAATATATGAAACCATTTTATCAATGTATGGAACCAAAGTAGCAATATATGAGTTTGTTATACCAATTATTCAATATATGGAACCAAAGTAGCAATGTATGGAACCAGATGTCCTTATATGAAACCAAATTATCAATATATTAATTCATTTTTACAATATATGAAACCATTTTATCAATGTATGGAACCAAAGTAGCAATATATGAGTTGGTAATTACAATATATGATACCAATTATTCAATATATGGAACCAAAGTAACAATGTATGGAACCAGATGTCCTTATATGAAACCGAATTATCAATATAATAATTCATTTTTACAATATATGAAACCATTTCATCCATGTATTGAACCAAAGTATCAATATATAAGTCGAATATCACATTATATGATACCAGGTCTTCAATATATGGAACCAAAGTAGCAATGTTTGGAACCAGATGTCCTTTTATGAAACCGAATTATCAATATATTAAATCAATTTTACAATATATGAAACAAGTTTATCAATGTGTGTAACCGGAGTAGCAATATATAAGTTGATTTTCACTTTATATGATTCCAGTATCAATATATGATACCAAAGTAGCAATATATTGAACCAAAATGTCATTATATTGACGGGACTTTTTTTAAAGACTGTATTCTATCCTTGCACAGGTATTACAGTTTCGCGCCAATATTCAAAAGACCAGCGTGCTTCACTAATTGCATACTGCACATTTTCTAAATAAGGAAATATTTGAATTTAACGTCACATTCACTTCAAATGGGCTGGACAGGCAGAACTTATCGTTATATATGTACGAGATGTATGTCATAATTTAAGCTATTGTGTCGTACTGACCATTAACAAAAATATATTTAAAAAATAAGTTCATCTCGACCTTTACCTTTGATCAAAAAATGGGCATGGCCAGTAGTACACATCAAGGTTAATCTACTCACAAAGTTTAAAAACAATCAGTCAAATAATAATTGATTTCATGAAAAAGTGTATGCATTGTAATAACAGAACCCAGTGACCTCGGCCTTTGACTTGTTGACATGAAAATAGGCTACTTTGGTTCCATATAATGAAAATTGCTATCATAGACTGTAACATCAACTTATATACTGCTACTTTGGTTCCATACATTAATAAAATGATTTCATATATTGTAAAAATGACATAATATATTGATAATTCGGTTTCATATAAGGGTATCTGGTTCCATATATGGCTTCTTTGGTTCCATATATTGAAGAACTGGTATTATATAAAGTGATAATCAAGTCATATATTGCTACTTTGGTTCCATACATTGATAAACTGGTTTCATATATTGTAAAAATGAATTAATATATTGATAATTCGGTTTCATATCAGGACATCTGGTTCCATACATGGCTATTTTGGTACCATATATTGAAGAATTGGTATCATATAATGTAATAACCAACTCATATATTGCTACTTTTGTTTCATAAATTGATACATTGGTTTCATATATTGAAAAATGAATTAATATATTGATAATTCGGTTTCATATAAGGACATCTGATTCCATACATGGCTACTTTGGTACCATATATTGAAGAATTGGAATCATATATTGAGAAAATCAACTTATATATTGCTAACTCGGTTTCATACACTGACAGTATGGTTTCATATATTGTAACTGTGGATTAATATAATGGATTCCGGTTAAATAAGAAGGTGTTTTCAATTCATATATAGTCGAAGTGAACTCATGTATTATCCAAATGGTTAAATAAATTGAAAAAGACTAATATCAGACAGCCATGGCTTTCCATAAGCATCCTTAGTAATATGTATTCATATAATTAAACATTTAAGTGTTATACAAGTATTTATGTGCAACAATGTGCAGTGGAAACTTTGGTACTGCACTTGACTGACTCACTGAAAATAAAACGTTTGTGTTCCTATTGAAGTTATACGATTATTATACTGTACTTTAAACATACGTATGTAAACTATTTCTCAAAGTTAAAGGGACACTACTGAGTTTTTGTTTTTGTTTTAAATTATTTGTATTGACAAGATGGCACTGGAAATATTTGTTCAAGTTTTGGTATATTATTCTTCATATTAATTCTCATGAACTATACTCGGACAAAGCAGAAGTGGGATCGAATATTTCAAATGAGCGCTGTAATGTATTCATAATTGATGGGTCAATAAAATCTGACTGTCCGTCAGACCAGTTACATTTTATAATGTTATGCAACAACAGTTTTTCACAAAGATTCAAAAAAATTCACTATAAGGCTCCAGAGGGGATCGAACCCTCGACCTCCTGTTTACTAGACAGGCGCTCTAACCACTGAGCTATGGAGCCGATATGGTTATATCTGTAAATATAAGAGTAGTATCTACTGTATCAACGATAACGCTAACAATAATGCAATTCTTACTTTTAAAGCTATTAATTACAATGTCAATAATTTTCAAGAAACACGTTAAGACAAGAATGTTTATGTCACAAAGTTACGTAATGTTGTCTTTTGGCCTAGAATAAATATTTTTCTGTGGTACACGTTACATAGGTTTCCTTAATTTACATTATATGATCGTGCAATCTCTGATTATGTGCAATATTATATTTTTGTCTCATGTAATGATATATAAGGTTAATAACCTCAAAGTTATCCATCTTTTACGATAACTTCCATGCTATTTTCTTGTTTGTAAAATACCTATTGAGCGGAGTTATACTTAACTTATAGTTGAGTATTATTTCAACCACTCTTATTTTGAAAAAAAAAAAACAACTAAAATTCAAATGTCTTAAAATGATACTCATGGAGTGGATATAGTTAAAGATTGTTATCTTCTGGTAATTTGTCCAAAGTTAAAATAGTTAACTACATGACCATGGTCAGTAAGAAACATTTCTGTAGACAACTTTAGAAACTACTGGGGGTTTGACAGTACAACTGTCAGAATGTTTAACATTAGACATGTATGTTTTATTAAATTGACTCCAAATATCTTATTATTTATTACAATAAACGCTGATCCAAATAAATTGTATACCTTATTTGCTTTCAGTTTGTCTTGTATATAAATCACTGTATGAAATTTGATTCTGCCTTACGGTTAACTTTTATTTTATCGAAACAAATTTCAAGAGTGTATTAATCTGAATCTGAAACTGCTTTGTGTTTCGTCTTACATGTTAGAATTATTTTCACTCGAATCATTCATGTGAAGATTCCCATACAATTTACAATGAAATCCATGTCCACAGTCCTTTCATTTAATTTTCGTAAAATGTGTATCTCGTATAAATCATCCAAAAAAAATTTTTTTTTGTATTTGTTTACAGGCTGAATACATAAATTGAATTGAATTGATATATTGTTTGTGACACTGTAATCATGAAATTTATCATTATGAAGAATGAATAAACATATTTTGACACTACTCTCTGACTTATATCCTCTAAGTCCGCCGCCGTAAGGTTGGCTCAGCTCGTACAGTGTTCGTCATGTGCAATCGCAAAGAGTTGACAGTTCATCACTGAATTGACACTTTTCATTGCTTCTCATGAACATACTCCTTCTGTTTCAATGTCATATTCTTGGCCATCGATTCCAATACTACTATAAAGCCTGTGCGAATGGACATGAAAAGTGGAAGGACTTTCGTCATCCTTATTAACTTACTCAGTCAATCAAATAGCCTTTGAATATATGCGATTTCAAGATTGTCTTTCATTAATCCCCTTGCTAAGAACTTTTAGTATATTTTCCATTCTGCTTGCAGAATTTTTTTATGCGTAAAACATGTGTCACAATTTATTCAAGCATGTCCATAAAAAAAAGTACAAGAGCTACATTGGAACAAATTTGTACCATTGGAATTGGAAAATATCTCACTGGGACATGGTGTATGCATAATATTCATTTTTTAAAGATATATTAAATCAATTAGTAAATACGATTAGCAGTGACCTTATGTTACCTTTAACGAATGTCACGTGATCACCACACATGGTATATATTTTGCCGATGTGCTTTGATATAGTTTTTCCGAGCAATTAGGCTTATCATTTCAAAGACAGGGCCATTGCGAACAACTGACAACTTATTAAATTTGAAATCTGTTTTGCTTATAGAATAAAGGGGAAAAAACTCTATAGAAATAATATGACAGTAACATTTAAAAAATGACAAACAGGATGTCAATTTGATATTATGTCGGGAGTAATTCAACAATAAGTATTTGCTTTCAATTTTATTTACTTCATTTACAAAAAAATATATAATATGGCGCCCTGCGAAGCAAAAAGACGACGTGGCACAAATCAGCCACCATAAGTTACTTTGTATGTTTAATAATGTTATTTACAAAATAATTTTACCATAAATTTTTAAGCAAACACATTTTTCCTGCTCTTTATCGTAAAGTAAATGCAAGGGTTTTGTACTATTTTTTTACAGCGTGTCAATAGGGTGTGTTTGTTTGCGTACACATGTACCTTTGTTCGATTAATCGAATAATCTTGTAGAATCAAGTCTGTCAATAAAGCATATTTTTGTACAGTATTTACATCATTTATTCTAAATTTTTATTTCATTTATTCAAATTGATAGTGTAAAACTCTGTAAATTGATAAGCATTATGCATTTAAATTTCATATAAATAATATAATCACACGATTTAGAGTGACGGCTTTTTAACGAAACTGCCATCGTTCCATTATATAACAGCCCGTGACCGCCCCTTCCCATTACCTCATTGTGTGATTTGATATAATTTCTTATTTCTTTATTTGTTTTCCACATTTTTTAACATTTCAGATAAAAGCCAAATAGATTCATTTCTAAACGGGTACAAACTGATAGATTATATCAATTTAAATATGAGTATCTTTATCACCCTCCGCAACGATTATGCACTCTCCCATCGGACCCATTTTACTTTATTCCTCGACGGTGCCCATCTGGGTGTCTTCCAAATGTGTGTTTATGTTGTTGGGACTGCATTCCACGAATATTGCTCACCTTTGTGATCTTCCTCTAAATATTCTGATCTTCCTTCTTATATTATCACAAGAAAATTGAATAACAAAATATAATTATTATTATAACAGAGACTCTGTACTTAGAACATTAAGTACTAAATATTTATTCAAAAATCTCAATAGAAACTAACAAGGTCATAATCGACAGTTGTAACATAATTTTATTCTTCTTTTATTATACTATTATCTTCAGCATCGATGTAACATACTTTCATTACTCATAACAGATGCAATGTACGGTTACGGACAGCAAATTTTCACCTACAATGTTTTAGATATCATAAACCACGTCTTCTTGTATATTGGTCATGACCTGACTTAAATAAAAATAATTTTAGTAGTGTTGTTCTTGTTTTGTTTTTGTTTTTTTAGATCACAAAGCAGACTTTAGTTTATCAGTCGCAATAATAACGTAAATCAATTTAGATTTATTTGAATATTTTATGAGCATTTTTGTAATCCGACAAATTTACTTAACTCTGTGTTATTTCATATCTTTATACTTCAATATTATACACTTAACAAAAGTTCTAACCGATCACTTTTTAAATTTTGATTATTTTATAACGGGTCAATAGATCCTTATAAAATTTTGCAGAGGTGATTTTTTGTGTCATTTTCTACCGATTTGTGGAATGAAAAATAATTTAATACGGTTCCATGCACTCACGCGGGAGACAGGGTGCGGTTTACACATTTTGGCACGAAATGTTCCTGCAGAGCGTGGTGAGTATTAAATTTTACATTGCATAAATCCTTGCTAACGTTATAAGTGAAAAAACATAAAACGTGGCACGAATGTCGATGCAGGATCATGCTGTACCAGTTGGAATGTTGAGTCAGACAGGTGACTGGCTGTTCATAAAAAATATTTTTTTTTAAATATAGTAAAGTATTATTAAAATAGAAATATGTTATAATTTTATTATTCTCAATGTGTTCATTCTCTTCGAAATAAAATAAAAGTCAGACCTATTGGTGTTATTCTTTTTCATATATAAGCGAAAACTCAGGGTGATCGGTTAGAACTTTTGTTCAGTGTAGTTTCATTATTAAAATGTTTAGGTATATAATATAAGAATCTCCTAAATAAATACACGTGATTTGCACTTTGATTATTCTACCCTGAAGTGTTTACCTAGAAATGAGAACATGCATTTACGTAGGCAAATCTTTAATTACAGTTAAACTTCGTTCGCTCGAACTCGGATCGCTCGAATACCTCCCTTCGCTCGAACTCATCGCCCAGTCCCGGCAAAATTCCTTTATAATATATACTGTTCTACCTCGGATCGCTCGAACACCCATCGCTCGAACTCTCGACTTCAAAAAGCTTGTCCGACCAATAACTTAAGATTCCTTTGACCCACAGTCTTCATATTTGGCATGGAAGCTAGTCATGATAAGTAGATGACCTCTATTGACTTTGAGGTCACCAGGTCAAAGGTCAAGGTCACAGGGGCATTGACTTCAAAAAGCTTGTCCGCCCAATAACTTAAGATTCCTTTGACCCACAGTCTTCATATTTGGCATGGAGCTTAGTCATGATTAGTAGATAACCCCTATTGACTTTGAGGTCACCAGGTCAAAGGTCAAGGTCACAGGGGCCTTGACTTCAAAAAGCTTGTCCGCCCATTAACTTAAGATTCCTTTGACCCACAGTCTTCATATTTGGCATGGATGTTGATCATGACTATAAGGTGACCCCTATTGATTTTGAGGTCACTGGGTCAAAGGTCAAGGTCACAGGGACCTTGACAAAAAAAAAGCTTTTCTTCTCAATTGCTAAAGAATGTCCTGTCCGCAATGTATTGATTTTGACATTTTCACATTTGAAGCATGTAGAATACATAACTTAGCAATGCACTGGCTTAGTAACCTCAGATTTGGCAGGGAGGTTGTCCTTGAGCTCTAAATGGCCACTGTTGATTCTGACAAAGTGGTATGCGGGGGTATTCACGCCATCATAGTGGCAGTTCTAGTTATTTTTATTTTTATTTTTTTTTTTTTTTAAAGAAGAAAAAATACTTGGTTTTATTTTTAAGTAACTTTGTACATATGTCCAGTATGTTAGATTTGTTGTAAAGTTATGTATAGTCTCTTATAACTCATCTATGAGTGGCATTTATGTACAATGTCGTAGGTTTTATATTTGTATTATTTTAATATTGTACATGATGATGAGACTTTAATAAACTATCTTATCTTATCTTATCTTATCTCGAACCTGATCTCCGGTCCCTTCGGCAGAAATATAGTGTAAATCACACCTTTTCGGTCGAACTCAGAGGTCGAAATGTTCTAAATAATTGACAGTCGGCGACACATGTTTTTAACACCTCGTGATCGTGACAAAGGCAATTATGGTTAATTGGTACAAAATAAAAGGTGTTTTACCGATTTGTTTGTTATGATACAATTGTTTATTTGCAGTCTTTAGTAACGATAAAAAGAAAGTAACTCCTGAAATGCCCAAAGTAAATAAATAAGTAAATGACGTTTACCCGGACGGCTTTAATTACAACCGTGGTTCATGTAACGTGAATTGTAACAGTGTAATCTATTTATAGAATGATACGTGTGTTTATTTTAGTAAATGACTACAAATAGATGCTGCTGTAAAATGTTGTTTTTTATATTTTATCGATTCATTGTTTAAAATAAAATTCACCCAATAATAAACTTGAACACTGTTCACAGTTTAGATAATGATCGCCCGATCGA